ACTACGCAATGGACTATCTATGTTCTGCCCACCACGGGTATTGAAATCCGGATTCTAGCGTTGTAATTCCTCAGACATTCCGCTGTGCCACTGGGGGGGGGGGAACACATGTGTAATGTGTAAATCGTGTGTTTTAAATAACCGCTTATTCTTTCTCTCTGGGATAAAGTAAAAAAAAATCATCCAATAAATATTTATTTTTTTATATTGAGACTGATCTGGAAACCGAAATTTACAAAGTAAACTACTGTGTGGTCCATGATTTTAACTGTAAGGAAACAGTTTTCAAAGATTATAATTCGTGTGACGAATTTTATAAATTCTTATTTGCGAAAGAACATAAAAATTATACAGCTATAGCACATAATATGAAAGGTTTTGATGGGCAGTTTATCTTAAATTATCTTATTCATCAAGGGATAACGCCTGACATTACAGTAAATGATGGAACAATTATGGTTATTACTGTTAAAAGTCTGATAATTAGAATAATCGACTGTTATCATTGTTCTGAAAAACTCTTGGTTTAAAAGATCCACAGAAAGGATATTTTAAACATAAAATCAAATCAAGAATATTGAGGACATGTGCCAGATTTTACTCCCCCAACAAAAGTTCCTGGATTGGTACAGTCAGCGACAAAAGGAAGAATACATCTTTGACTTTCAAGAAGAGATGTACAGGTAAGAAAAAATAAGACAATAAATGTTGATTCTTATTTTTAAATTTTTGAAAGATTTTTCTCATAAATTTTGTTGAAATTTATAATTATCATTTTTTTTCTTTAGGTACTCCCGATCAGACGAATATATACTCCAATGGTGTCGTCTTCAATTCAGGGAAGAGTTTCTACGACATCGTCCATTGGTGCTGTATGCATGGCTATATACAGAAGTAAATCTATACCACCATGATCGATAGTTCTCGTACCTAATCACGGATACTTTACGACCAACAACTACAAGGGTTAGATTATGTAAGAAAAGCTGAGGGGGTCAAGATCCAACATGCACTTAATTGTGGTAAGAAGCAAATCCTAATTATAGAGTTGACCGATTAAGTAAGGAACAAAACACAATCTATGGGTTTTCAGGTGTTACTACCATGAGTAAAGTACATGTTATGATTCTGATATACAGAATGTAGCTCGATATAGATTTATTTTAGAAAGTATGCATTAGAAAAACAAGAACAAGTGGAAGTTCTAGTATACAAGGTCATGACAATATGGGAACATGGGTTTAAGAAAACGAAATCTAATGATTCAGGCTTAATAAATTTCCTTATGGACCATACAATAGTTTCTTGCCTGGATGTAAGAGATGTCTTCTATGGAGGGAGAGTCAATGCGACAAGACTTTTATATGATATAAACGAAGTAGAAAATATCAAGTATGTGGACTTTACATCATCATATCCATGGACAAACCACATACTGTGAGTATCCGGTTGGACACCCTACCATAATAAAAACAAATTTCTTTGATTTAAAAGAGGATTTTGGAGTCATGAAATGTAAAATCCTAGCCCCAATGAAACTCCATCATCTAGTTT